GGTTTGCCTGGAACAGTCCGGTTTTACTCCTGTTATACTGGCAGAATTATTAATCATGTCCCTTTCAGTGTTGAGAGTCCTAGTTAGGATGTTAAATTACATCACATATTTTTAGAAGCATCTCTTTCCCTTAGCAACTTGGTCACATCAGACCATTTTTCATCAGCATTCTCTGTTTAACTCAGTTTTTGTATATCTTGACAAAAAGTGCTAGGTCCCTCCTCTATTGAACTTATCATTCCTAAGATCTGCCAGCAGTCTCTTTTATTCATCCTTGAAAATTCCAAGATAAATGTTTAAATGCCTTCATTGCCATGGCCCGTTCTTTCCCAACACTACCTTAATCCTGTCTTCACCAAGTCTCTTCACTTTCTCTTCTATTTTTGGCATTTCTACCTTAATCCCCTTTCCACTTACTTTTTTTTTTTTGAGAGGGCATCTCTCATATTTATTGATCAAATGGTTGTTAACAACAATAAAATTCAGTATAGGGGGGGTCAATGCTCAATGTACAATCATTAATCCATCTCAAGTCTAATTCTCATCAGTCTCCAATCTTCTGAAGCATAACGAACAAGTTCTTACATGGTGAACGAATTCTTACATAGTGAATAAATTCTTACATGGTGAACAGTACAAGGGCAGTCATCACAGAAACTTTTGGTTCTGATCACGCATTATGAACTATAAACAATCAGGTCAAATATGAATATTCGTTTGATTTTTGTACTTGATTTATATGTTGATCCCACATTTCTCCCTTTATTATTATTATTATTATTTTTTTTTTTTATAAACTGCTGAAGTGGTAGGTAGATGCAAGATAAAGGTAGAAAACATAGTTTAGTGTTGTAAGAGAGCAATTGTAGATGATCAGGTGTGTGCCTGTAGACGATGTGCTAATCCGAGCTAGACAAGGGCAATAAAACATCCATGGATGCAGAAGCTTTCTCTCAACACAGGGGGGGGTGAGGTTCTAAGCTTCACCACTGTTGTTCCCCAATTTCTCACCTGATGGCCCCCCTGCGACTGTGCCTGTCTTAGGTTGTTCCTCCCTTGAGGAATCTTACCTGTCTCTGGCTAACCAATCATCTTCAGGGGCCATACAGGGAAATGTAAAGTTGGTAAGTGAGAGAGAAGCCATATTGTTTGAAAAGGTTAGCTTTTTACTTCTTTGCAGATTTATGCCCTGTGGCTTCTATGCCCAGCACTTGTCTCAAGGTATCTTTACCACCTGGAGGAATTATGTTACTCGGTAAATTCGATATGAGGCACAAATTCTATTTAAGGGTTGTAATTAGGAAGGAAGAAGAAAAGCTATAGAGGTAGCATATGGAAGAAAACATGGGAGGATTGATTATTTCTTTGACATATCTTCTTGTAGAGTACCTTAAGTGTGTATAGGTTTTAAACTACTAACTAACTTGTGCACACATATTAACATAATAGGAATACGGTGACATAAACAAAGCAAATCTATAATTACCAGCCATCTCCAGTGAAGCCAAGAAAACCATTTAGGCACCCTCCACTTATTTTTCTACATTGCCTTACTATGCTGCCAGATTTTCATACTTTTCAAAAAATTAATTTTGCCTTATCTGACAATTTGCAACTTCAAATTTTTGTCTATAAATAGACGCTGTTAGTTATTTTAGCCCAAATTCTCTTTTGTTTTGATATAAACTCTCTGGTGTTAACTCACATTAAGTTCATATTCCTCAATTCCAGTGTTAGCTTACATTAAAATAACATTCCTCAATTCCATTTTTAGCTAACAGCTCTCTGTTACCTTTGGATCATACCATAAGCTGCTCCAGGGCTAATACAGAAGTACTCCAAACAGCACTCTTTTGCTATTCTTTGAGGAAATGCCATATTTTTGTTTTATTATTTTAAGACATAAGGAAATTGTAGCCTCTTAGGAATTAGATGTTTAGGTAATTGATGTTTAGGAATTAAGAATGTAGATGTTTAGCTCCCAAGACTTTTAAGGATGCCTAATCTAATTTTTTATTGTGATAAAATGCACATAACATAAATTTTAACACTTTAGCCATTTTCAAGTGTGCAATTCAGTGGCAGTAAGCACATCCACCATGTTGTGTAACCATCGCCACTACCTACTTCCAAATTTTTCACCACCTCAAACAGAAGCCTCATCCCCACTGAGCAGCCACTCCGCACCCTCCTTCCTCCAGCCCCTAATGATCACAAATCTGCTTTCTGTCTCTATGGATTTGCCTCCAGTGAATATTTCATATAAATGGAATCATACGTTTTTGGGGGGTCTGGCTTCCTTCACTTGGCAGATGTTTTCAAGGTTCATTCTTATTGTAGCATGTATCAGTTCTCCATTCTTTCATATGGCTGAATAATGTTTCATTGTATGGATAGACCCCCGTTTTGTTTATCTGTTCATCAGTTGGTTGGTCTAATTTTTATTACATCTTCTCTCCAAGGTGCAGTGAGTGATACGGTAGCATAAGTGTGGTGTGTGTTACGTGGATATGATTAGGTGGGTGTCTTTGTGGCTGGGTGTATGGCTAGTGCTTGGTGTAGAGCATGTATATGAGGCCTATTCCCTTTCTATTTGGGTGCCAAAACTTTTTCCTGTTTTTACTTTCTTTCTTTACCCCCCACCCCCACCAAAAAAAAGCTTTTTTTTTTCTTTTTTGGTAACTAGATTATATTTTGTTTTTTCTTTACCATTGTATTTACTGGTTTTAGAAGATACAGATGAATTAAATTACTATAGTCCCACCACCCAAAAACAACCGCTAATAGTAACATTTTGATATATTGTCTTCTGGTCATTTTCCTATATTTGGGTATTTTATTTTTACCTACTGATGATCACACTGAATTGAAAATTTTGTATGCTGCCTTTTTTCGTCAACTTCATTTACTTAACAAGAATTGAATACCTGCAGTGTGCTGGGCACTGTCCTGGATACCTCTGGGAACGAACAAGGAGTTCTGTTGGGGCTGTAGTTTGCGAATCATCAGCTTGTAGATGATATTTAAAGTTCTGGTCTAAGACTGCCTGGGGGAGAGTCAGAAGCACTGAGCAGAGGATGCAGGACTCAGCCAAAGGCACTCCCACATGCAAAGCTGGACCAGAGGCAGGGCTGAGGGAGAATGGGCCACCTGGTAAAGCAGGACAGTCTGGAGGAGAACATCCTTTGAAGCGGAGTGGCCCCTTGTGTCACACGCTGCCAAGCACCTCAGTGAGATGAGGAAGAGGATTAACTTGGTCTGGCAAGTTGGTGGCCAGGATGGAGTTCCATGGCATGGAAAGGATCCCAGCCCAACTGGAGTGTACTGAGGAGCCAATGATATAATACATTACCATATTTCTGCATGTTTCATATGTTCCTAAGCATAATTTGATGGCAGAATAAGATGTGTATTGTACATTTTACTTAACCCTGTACTGCCTTCCTATTGTGTGACATTTACATTATTTCCAATTTTTACTATTACAAAAGAGAACAAAGCGAACAGCTTTGTAAACTTTCTCTCCTACTTTTAGCATCATTTCCTTTGACCAGAAACACAGAAAGCAAGGTGCTAGCTGAAGAGCAGAGCATCTTTAGAGCTTGTGACTCTCACAGAAGGACTGATGGGTTTGCACTCCCTCCAGCAGTGTCTGAGGGGCCCCAGCAGCTTGACTGCGACTCTCAGTTGGGTCCTGCCAGAACAGGTCTCCTTTCATTAGCTCAGGAGCTATTTACCCTTGAAACAGAGCTAACTGAATAAAAAACACACACATTGGGCAATGAAAACTATCCACAGCTCACTAAATAGTCATGTGAAGCAGAAATGCATGTACAACACTTGCCAATCTATATGGAACCACAGCTTAAATGTCATGTTGGTGTTTGTTATTAATTTTCTTTTCACTAAGGTTCTGCTGAAACCTTACACCAAATACGGCCTGGGGAAATACTCAGCTAAGGTCTGCCTCCTCCATTCCTCTGTTCCCGTGTATCCAGATAGATGTGATCAGTGCCAGAATTTAAGGAAGTTTACCCTTTTCTGGTAAACACCCTCCAAATCTCCCATTGCAGCTGCCCGCTGATGTGGGACAATGACTTCTGCCCCTTCCATGCATGCCTTGGGTGGGGTTTTATAAACATTCCCAGCTGGTGGCAAAAAGGGAACAACTTCCAGGCTGATCACCATCTCAGAAATGTCCTCCTTCTTTCCGGGTCCCTACTTCTCAGAACTCCCCACTGCTTTATAGTCCCTCCTGTCACATTATGGATTTCCCTCCCTGGCAGCAGCAGCTGGACAGAAGGAGCTGACCCCAGCTGCTTGCTGGGCTTCTACGTAACTGCTTCCTGGCCCCCACATGCCGCATGGCGGCGCCTCACCTAGGACTGGCGGTGCTCTGTGCACAGCAGGCGCGGGTGCTTGTGGTGCTGGCTCCACGGCAGCTCACCTCTGGTGATCTGCTCCCGTTCCAGCAGCACAGGCATTGCTGTTTGCTGGGCCTTGAGAGGAAGGAGGGATTGTGTGAAACGTGAATAGATGTGGTAAGAGAGATTCATGTGCATCTCCCTCCCTACCACTGGGTCATTTTCTGGGGAGGTCTGGAGCACTACAGATAATCCCCATAGTGGAAGGCCCAGTGGCATGTTTAATAGCTCAGCAGAGTGTTCTAGAACAGGCAGACCTAGATGCCTTCCTGCAGTTACTGGCTCTGTGACTCAAGAGGGCAACTTAACTTCTCTGCATCTCATTTTTCTCCTCTATGTAAAAAATAGAAAGATAATGTATTACCAGCCTCCTTGAATTATTGCAGGAAGTCATACAGTGCAGTGTATGAGGTGCCCACCATAGTGCTTGGCCCAGTGCAGGCTCAGCCAGGGTGAACTGTTTCCATCATTATCCCACCCATCTCCTCTTGTGGACGCTTCCTGACTTTTGTTGCTCCAAGTTGGTGGCTCAGACCTAACTCTTCAAACCCCTTTCTCTTTGCTTCCAACTTGCAGGGGGCTTTGTGAAGAAGCATGGTCAGCCTGTTGTTCCCAAAGCCTTGGGGTAAGTTCTGGGATGCTCAAGCCAGGGTAAGGGATGGGTTGGCTTTTCCTGCTGACATGATAGAACAGGCCTAGGTAGTAAATCTTCTTGGACATCCTGGGTTATAATAACTAAAGTGGGAGCCTATTGAGATACAAAGTGTCACTCACACAGTGCCTCCTGACCTGGTGGCCTCTGTGGATAGCCCCTTTGACAGATCCAGCTGCTAGATGCTGAGGAAGTAGGGCATGTGGCCATAGTCTGCAGGGGTCTCTAACAATCAAGGCACTAGTCAGAAGAGTGGGCAAGAGAGAGTGTAGAGAATCTCACAGGAGGTCTTTACAGGTCCAGCCTAGAAGTGGCAGATAGCACTTCTGCCTATAGTCTGTTGGCCAAAACTCAGGCTTTTGGCCAGAGCGCAGTAGAATTCAGGTCATCCTGGACCTTCTTGGACATCCTGGGTTATAATAACTAAAGTGGGGACCTATTGAGATATAAAGTGTCATTCACATAGCGCCTCCTGACCTGGTGGCCTCTGTGGATAGCCCTTTGACGGATCCAGGTCTGCCTGGACCTTCTTGGACATCCTGGGTTATAATAGCTAAAGTGGGAGCCTTCCTTCAAGGGAGACTAGTAAGTGAAGTCTAGCTGCATGTCCAGGAGATAGAGGAAATAGGCTTTGGTGCCACAGATTTTTCCAGAGGGTGCATCTGAAATGTGTTTGAGGCATAAAGTTAAGGCCCCAACTTGCATGGGGGCAGAGAGAAGAGAGTCTGAGTTGCTGCTGGATTCGCTACTGATTTCTTTCCAGGGACAGGTTTGCAGCCCCTGCAGTGGAGACCCGTCCTAGCATCTGGGGAGAATGTCCACCAAAGTTTGCTACCAAGCTGGGCCGAGCAGTGGTCAAAGACGGACAGATGGGACGATTCTCCTGCAAGATTACTGGCCGGCCACAACCACAGGTCACTTGGCTCAAGGTGAGGTTTTGTCTGCCCCAAATCTGGCCCACACCTGGAGACCCTGAAAATTGAGGGTTAGATCTTTAGACTTGTGGGAATTGTCTTTCCAATCAGTCCTTTCTGTTTCAACCATAGATGTTCTCAAGGCTTCTCTGTGTGTTTGATACCCATGCTTATTCTTGTCCTGATCGGAATTCTCTCCCTCTGTTGCTGTCTACATTGTTCTATAATCCACACACTCATAAAACAGCATCAAACCTAACCATCTCAAGGGAGAGGAATTTGAAGTCATGGGACTAGGTTTCAAGCCACAGCTCCTTGTTTCACAAAGCATGTGATCCTGGGCAAGTCATCTGACCTTTTGGAACCCTGCTTTCCTTATCTGTGAGGCAGAAAGAATCCCCCTTGCCTCAAAATCCTGGTGGAAGGCTCCTTGTGGAAGTGCTTTATAAAGTATTTGGGACTGGGCAAAGCAGAGTCAGCAGGGGTGGGTGTTAAACAGGGCAGCAGGGAGCTGTAGGGGGCACTCGGGGTCAAGGCTAGGGAGAGTAGGTTTTTCATAGATGAAACCCCTGAGTGAAAATGAGTGATGGGGTGCCTTTTACCTATTTCCTAATTCCCCTGAACTGACCCCCAGGAAAGAATAAAAGAGAGAGACAAAGGAAAACCAAAGTGAGGAGGAGAGGATTTCCCACCTCCTGGGAGGGCTCCTTTGAAACAGGTTCCATGCGTCTGGCCTACCCTGGACCCAGTGCCACGCCGTACATGGAGACCTCGAGTTAGAGCCCTGAAGGCCCGGAGCATGCTGACAGAGCCCAGAGTAGAGGGCTCTGCTGCGCACGCACACTGTCTGTCCCACTAGGATCTCCGGGATGTAGGAGGACAATGCCAAAAGGTGAGCAGGTTTCTCTGACTGTGCTGCCCTATCGCCACACACAGGGAGATGTGCCCCTGCAGCCAAGTGCCCGTGTGTCCATGTCTGAGAAGAATGGGATGCAAGTTCTGGAAATCCATGAGGTCAGCCAGGAGGACGTGGGTGTGTACACCTGCATGGTGGTGAACGGGTCGGGGAAGGCCTCCATGTCAGCTGAGCTTTCCATCCAAGGTATCAACTGTGGGGGGGCTAGTGCACTACAATCACTTCCTGGGGTCTGTACCCTCCTAGAAGCAGCTGCTTGTTCATCCCTCATCAGTGTGTTACAGTGTCACACTTACATACCAGTGCGCTCCCCAGGGGCAGGCTCTTGAGCCAGAAGAAAGGAAGTTGGTGAGCAGCACCAACCCAGCCATGGAAGATTCCCCACTGGCATCTCCACAGCCCACCCCACTGCTGGGTTTTCAGTCTTTATTTCTTGCTCAGACTCTTTTTTCGCATTTCTGATTGCCAACTGGAAAAGTGGACATTGGTAATTTCTTGCCATCATCCCAAAGTTAACCTACCTTAAATTTAATCGTCCACTCTGTCCTTCAAGTCAGGCGTTCCCTCCACCTAACTCTTTCTACCTCAGGATTCTCATTTTCCTTCCCACCCAGCCTGGGCAGTCAGCATCGCCTTTGACCCCTGCCTCTTCCTTGCTGCCATCATGAGACCCTGTCAGTTCTTCCTTTGAAATCCCTCTGGCTTTGTCTCCTCTCTCCTTTCCCCGCAGTTCTGCCAAGTCCAGCTTAGGGAAGCTGGAGCGTGTGGCTGGAAAGGGATCTCCACCACCCCTGGCGCCAGAACCTTGAGAAGGAGGGACCTGGGGAGCCAGGGGGGAAGGCCCGTCACCGTCTCCTCCTTTCTTACCTTCTCTTCTGTCATTTTTCTCCTCCACATCTCCCTCCTTTCTCCACAGCTTTTCCTCCTTGTTCTCTTTGCCATTTTAGGCCTGAATGTTTTTCACAACTCACTGAAAGAAATTTATTCTGCATTGCAACCCCAGACATGCATATGTACATAAACATACTTAACTGAAACAGGTTTCATGAAGCAACCCTGAGCTGTACTGGTACTGTGGTACCAGTACAGCATGTACAGTACACGCTGGTGTTTTCTATTCCATTCCATACCTCTAAGGCAGAAAAATCCTGGTCCTGACCAAAGAATTTGACTTCACAACTCACCCTGGGACCAGGGCCCGCTGTTAGGCATCGCAGTAGGGCTTGGCCACTCTCCCTTTACTTGCCCAAGTAGTGAATTAAAGAACTGCTCCTTCTGAATTACTTAATGACAGCATGGTTTGGTGCTTGAGTTGTTTTTTTTTTAATATGCCCAGAAAAAGCCCCTTAAAAAAACAAAACGAAAAAACTGGCAAAATGTCAGTATTTCCTGAATCTGGGTGATGGCTTTCAGGGTCTGTTTTGTCCTTCTCTCTACTATTATATATTTTGAGATTTTCCATGATAAAACTTTTAAGGAATAGTGTGGCAGGAAAAAATGCAGATTGTTTGATTTTTCTTTGAAGAACCGAATAAAATGACACCTCCCCTGTATGTTTTTTAACTAGGTTTTTGTAAAAAGGGATCACATTTGGAGGTTTGTTTTTGGAAGGCACGTGTAAATTAAACTGGCTTGAAATTTGCAGCCATTAGTTTTGTTTGTCCCTCGATTGGCTTTTGTTTCCTTCTGTAGGGTGGTGACCAGGACAGGTCCCACAGTGTGGTAGCCGAGGCCACGGTGAAAGGGCCAGGGCAGCCGTGGAGGCATTGAGGGTGTCTCCCGGCCTCAAAGTCATTTATCAAACTAACCCAAGGAGTTCAGGCCCAGGGAACCTGGAAGGAGTCGGGGAGGTGGGACCCCAGGCACTGGGGAAGGTGAGAGCTTGGGGAGTGAAGTGGTAGTGAGTGCAAGAGAGTGCCGTATGTAACTTTGTCCTCTTTGTGTGTGAAATATTCCACTAACAGTGTTTCTACCTTTCTCCCCTCTTTCAGGTTTGGACAATGCCAGTAGGTACGTCTAGGAGTGTGATTATTGTTTCCCTCTTGAAATGCCCTGCAATAAAAAAGGGATTGTAGTCGAGGCCCGCCCTGAATTTGGGAGCCATCGCAGAGGGAGGAGAGCTGGCTGGTTGGGGGCGTGGCCTCGCTCGGGTGTTTGCACTCCTCTTGTGGTTTGCCAGGCGGATTCTCCAGAGGCTCCGCATCAGTACCGACACTGTCAACGACATAGTGCGTCATCTTTCTCAATGTCTTTTGCCTGGGCTCTGTGCAGGCAGCTGTCAGCAGGAAAGACGCGCTGCTCAGAGAAGGCTGCTCCAGGCCAGAGCAGCTCGCAGCTCCTGCACATCTTCACCGGGGAGTCCCCTTCCTGGGTGGGGGGCTCAGTGCTAGGTTCTGGAGTGCAAGGGCCTCTAGGGTAGCAAAGGGCTTTTCCCAGAGCTGCACAATTCATAGTTACGAAGTGCAGTGCGTCCATGAGAAAGAGTAACAGAGAAGCACTACTTTTGACTGGAAGGTCAGAGAAACCCTTTCTGAAAACTTGAGGTTTGCACTCAGGCCTGTGAAGAGTAGTATTAGCTAGGTGAAGAAAAGCTCAGGGAGACAGTGTTCCAAACAGGGGGTGGCATGAGTGAAAGCGGTGAGATGGGAGGCAGGCATTGGGGGGACCCAAGAGAACCACCGTGTGGCTGCAGCTTGGTAGGCAACGGGGACAGTGTCCTTGGAAATTCAGCAGGCAGCCAGAGCCGGCTCGCACAGGAGCCTCCTTGCAGGCCATCTTGAGGAGCCTGGTTTTAATGCAGCGGGAAAGCTCTTGGAAAATCCTTAAGCTTAAAATGACACAATTTGATTTATGTCTTTGAAAGATTGCCTATGCTTGCTTTATAGAACGTGGATTAGAGAGGCAGCGTGGACGAGGGTTGTGGTTTGCAGTAGTTTACAGCACTCGTGGAGAAGCAAAAGGGGTGTATTTAATAAGTATAGACAGAATGTCTGGATTAGGGGTGAGGGATGAGGCAGTGTCAAGAATGGCTGCTGTTTTCTGGCTCGAGGCTGAGAAGCCTGCAGAGAAAGACTTGTGCTCTTTGCCTGGATTTGTGGGCTTTTGTGATCCCTGGAATCTGTGCCTGTGATGAGTAATGCTTGTGAGTAACCAATGATCATTCTGCTCCTCCGGCTCTTTCCCACTGTCCTACCCCAACTGCCACCACCACACAGGTCATTTGGGAGAGGAGCAAAGACGGCCAATTCAGATAACAGGAAGGAAGTGACCAATGGAATCACGCAAGGGCCGAAGCTGGACAGCCCAGAGACTGCAGCTGAGAGAAAGAGCTGCGCCAGCACCCAGAGAAGTGGCTCTCTGACCTGGGCCACAAGTAGCCAGCCTCAGTCCCTGAGGGAATCCAAGCTGGAGCCGTCCGGGGACCTAGTCAGAAAGGCCCCGAGGACCCCCCTCCTGCAGAAGACTTCCAGCACCATCACCCTGCAGGCTGCAAAAGCCCCGCTGGAACCAACTGCACCAGTCTCAGGTGCCCTCTCTCCTTTCAGAGAAGAGAGGGAGGGGCCAGCTGCTCCCCCTCCAGCCACCCTCCCTGCCCGGCAGCCTGGCCTGGGAAGCCAAGAAGCCGTGAGCAAGGTTGGGACTGGGAAATTCCCCATGGAGAGCCGGAGGGAGTCAGCATTTCCCAAATTCGAGAGTAAGCCCCAAAGCCAAGAAGTCAGTGAAGGTCAGACAGTCAAGTTCAGATGCGAGGGTGAGTAAAGCGACAAAGGTCATTGGTCCCCCCAATGCAACCCCTGGGTGGTCGCTCCCTTCCTTCAGCACAGTGGTCTGTGCCTCCTGTACCCACCCAGCCCCTTGGACTAGACACCACCCCCTCACCCCTGAAGCCAACTCACAGGGGTCTTCCCTCAGGAAGGACTCAGTTTAGTAAAGTCCCTGGGTCTGAGAAACTCCACAGTGGCCCATCTGTTCACTGTGTGTGCCCTAGAGGGGAAAGCCCATCATCACCATTATCATCAGAACACAGGCCTCGGGGGTCTCTTTCTCTTTCCTCCCTTTGTCTGGCTTTGGTCGGTCTGGAGCCCTGGCTTGTCCCTTTGTGTCCCTCCTCCCCGAGGACCCTGCCTCTGCTTGGGATGTTTACTCTTGTGGAGTGGAGGGTTGAGGGGTAAGAAAGCAGACTCAAACAGAAGTGCTCCCAACAGAGCTCTTCCCTTGGGTCCAGGGCCCACCTGTGCTCTCTAGGAGCCTCACATCCTTCACCTGGCCCTGTAGTTTCAGGGACCCCAAAGCCCGAGGTGACCTGGTTCCTGGAAGGTGTCCCCGTGAGGAGACAAGAAGGCACCGTTGAGGTCTATGAAGACGGCAGATCCCATTACCTCTGCCTGCTGAGAGCCCGGGCGAGGGACGGCGGCAGCTACAGCTGTACAGCCTCCAGCGTCCGAGGCCAGGCATCCTGTGCCTGGACCCTCCTGGTGAAAAGTAAGTTCCTCCAGGTCGCCCTGGGTTCTCATGGGAGGACCATTCCAGGCACTTCATACACGGCACAGGTGTCATCCCCTGTGGCCCCCAGCCCCATGCTGAAGCCAAAGTCATTGCTCTAGGAAAGGGATTCCTGATCAGGAGCTCACAACAGAACCACCTCAAAATAAACACGCCAGGGCCCATGCCCAGCCCAGCTGAGAACCACTTTTTTTAGCTCCCCAGCTGTCCGAATAGTGCCATGACTTGCTTTTGTAACCGCAGAGAATCTAACATTCACTAAATATACATGTTTAGGGTAATATGAGATGATGTGGGATCCCACATCTTTTATGTTTATTGTAGTATCTGTTTATACAAGTAATGTGTATTCGTTGCAGGGAATTTAAACAATATATAATCTCATGACTCAGAAATAAGTATTTTAGCCTTCTTAAAACAAAATTGGCATTGTGGTATTTGTATAACTGCTTTCTGTCCTAATTTGCTCATGTTACATAAGCATATTTCTATGCTATTTCTTTTGATATTATTTGGAAACATGATTTTTAATGGCCATATGGTATTTCATAGAGTAATGTATTTTTTGTAATAAAAATAATGAGGCATACTTTTATTGTTGAATATTTAGATTGTGGCCACTTTTTTCACTGTTGTAACAAAATTGTGGTAATACCCTCATACCCATCTATCTCTCTGTAAAACTTTCGCTTCGTTTTAAATGCTATTTAGGAATCCTTGACCTACATCGCACTATTGAGGAACCTATTAAACCCTGGGATAGAGTCAGGAGAGTTCAGGCTGTTGGAAACTCTATAGGTTATAAACAAATAACCTTCACCTATATTTTCAACAAATAAATTATAAGTGAAAAGAGGAGAGGAAGGACAACATAGAGGAACTTAGATGAAAAGATATGTAAGAGGCATCAACAATTGCAATATATGGACCTGATGTGGATCCTGATTGAGATACTTTAAAGAAAATTTCTATGAGAACATGAGGAAAATTTGAACACTGACAAGATTTGCTATAAAGGAGTTAGTCCTAATTTTAAAGTGTGCTAGTGGCCTTATGTTTTGTTTTGTTTTTTTAAGTCTGTGTATTTTAGAGATATAAATTTAGTTACGAGTGAAATGATATAATTTCTGGTATTTGTTTCAGAGATAACCCATGTGTGATGGGAATTGGTAGGGGTATAAATAAAATGAAATTGGCCATATCTTACTACACTGATGAACAGTGACTGCATTGGGGTGTGGGTGGGGACTTGATAATATGGGTAAGTGTAGTAACCACATCGTTTTTCATGTGAAACCTTCATTAGAGTGTATATCAATCATAACTTAATAAAAAAAAAAGAAATTGGCCATGAGTTGATAATCATTAAAGCTGAAAAACAGGGATAGTAATGGTTCACTATATTGCTTTCCCTACTTGTATGTATGTTTGAAATTTACTATAGCAAATGTTATCCAAAAAAGAAAGTAAAGAAAAAGAATGTAGTGGTTCATCCATATAGTGGGACATCATGCAGTCAGTAAAACAAATGTGGTTGATTTACAAACTGATGGTAAAACATGTCCAAGATACGTTAGTAAGGGAGAAGAGCCAAGTGCAGAGCCATGTGTCTCATATGCTATTCGCATAGAAGGAAAAAATATACATATATATCTGTGTGTGTGTGTGTGTGTGTGTGTGTGTGTGTGTGTGTGTGTGTGTATGCATAAAATTTTTCTGGAAGGGTCCACACGTTGCCTCTGGGAAGGGAAACTGGGAGTCCATAGGAAGTGGCAGGGAGTAGTCTAACTTATCAGTCCATGCCACTGATTCATTTCTTAATTGGGATTTTTTACTATGTTCGTGAATTCCTTTGCAAGTAATATTTTCCGTTTGGAGGCAGAGGTACCTGTAGGCAGAGTTCTCAGGTCCAGGGGCCCAATCCTCATCATCCAGGGCCCTGTGTCTGGGCAGAGGACAGACACATGGCATCATGCCCACCAACGGTTAAAAACCAACAGGCTGTCCTTGGAGTGTTGGTTATCGTTATTAAATGCAAGCTGTGCACAGAGACTGTACTTGCAGCAGGTTGCGGGTGAAAGAGAATGTTGGTTTTTAAAGCTACTGCAGCTGGGGCAAGGGAGATGATACATGGTACAAAGCTTGCTGTTCTTATCAAGACAGCTGTTTGTTTGTTTTTGAACGTTGCTTCTCAGAATGTTGCAAGCCTTTGGTTAATTTCCAGAGTCCTGAAAAAGTTGATCTGACTGTTTTGACCAGTGTTCCTGTTGCTTGTAGGGAGGAGTGCATTTTCAGAAGTCCTTACTCTGCCATTCCAGAAGTGTTTCTTGCTTCCTTTCTTCTTGGAGACATTAACTGTTCTAGAACTTCTCCAGACAACTTCATCAAGATGCAGACCATCTGACATGTGTTCTTTTAACTTTTCCCACAGCACCCTCTTTCTCTCTTTTCTATCACTGCAGAAAAGCTGTCTGGTTCCCTTACCAAGACTTCTCTTCCCATCCTTTCCCATCTCCAAAAGATCTCCCACCATTCCTTCAGTCTGTCAGTCTTCCCTTGTCTAGAGGCCTGTCTCTTCCCCTATAAGGATGTTCTGGTCTTCCCCATATGGAGAAGGGAGAGAAAATCGTCCTTGTGCTTGACTGCACCTGAAGTTGCTGCTTGATCTGTCTACTCTCTTTCATCCCCAGATTTGCTGCAGGCAGGCCTGTGTACAGCTTTCATTTGATAACAGCTAACACTCCACCCACCGAGAGCCTGCTCAAAGTGCCAGGCTTTGTGCTAAATGCTTTACCTGCATTCTTCCATTTCATTGTCCCAACAATCTTCTGAGATAGAGTTACACCCATTTTCCAGATCAGAACACTGAGCCATAGTGAGGTTACATGACTTATTCAAGGCCACTTGCCTTATAAAAGATAACATAGTTCTAATCCATGTTGGTCTAACACAAAATTCATATTCTTTTCAATGATTCCTAAAGGCATCTGATAAGGGAATTTGATGCTGTCAGGGGAAGGGGTGGAGGTGGTGCCTTTCCACACCTCTCAAGGCAGTCTGTCCATCCCTTCTCTTGGTGTCAGTCCCAGTCAGATGCACCATCATTGTGACTTGTAGCGGCTGCCCCACCACTTCCTCTCCCTTTAGGGGAGCTCTGGCCTAGAGGAAGTAGTGTGATACAGAGTCTGAAAGCTGGGTGTAAAGACTGGCTTCACTAAGGGGCATTATGATTAGCACACAGTATAGGGGGGCCACGGGGAAGGCAGTATAGCATGGAGAAGACAAGTAGTGATTCTATAGCATTTTACTATGCTGATGGACAGTGACTGTAATGGGGTATGTGGTGGGGACTTGATAATGGGGGGAATCTAGTAACCACAGTGTTGCTCAGTGATTCTATATTAATGATACCATAAAAAAAAAAGACTGGCTTCCCTATTGGGCTTGACTGTGGGAAATGACTAACTTCGTCGAAAATGAGCTAAAAGTGCAACCTCATGGCATTGTCACTGTCACATCTGGAAGAGTACCTGGCACAGAATAAGCTCTCAAATATTAGTTTGTGCCTTTAAACCCCTTCAGTATAATATGGTTTTCCCCTCATCACTGTATCGAGTAGCTTCTCTTGAAAAGTTCTAGTGAAATATCCAATTAACCTTTTCTCAGCTCTCAGCCACCTTGACCTTTCTGCAGCATGTTCTGCTTGCTATAAAAGAGGTTATCTGTCTCTGTTGCTCTTAATTAAGATCCCCAAGCTACAAAATACTCCCCAAGTCCCCAATGTAGAAGGCTTCTGGAAAGTTCATTTCAGTGGTTCTCAACCAAATGTACATCAGAATCATGAGTAATGCATAGTCTCAGACCCCCAGTGGTTCTGAAATTGGCCTAGATTGGAAAACTAGAACACATGTGAGTCCTTGTCATTTGATTCAGTCCTGGAATTGGAAAAAAATAATTATTTATGACTGAAATGTCCTCACTGGTGGGCATGTGGTCTTTGCAAGTAAAAAGCCAGTCACAAGACCAGGCAGGGTCTGATGGGACATAATGAAGAGGACAAGAGACAGTAGGAAGTAGAGCAGGACCAAGAAACAGGGTAAAGAAGGAGCTCTGGGGATGCTCCAGGACAGCAAGTCCAGACAAGGTCAGGGCCACCCGAGTCCCAGAGCAGAGGGGGCAGACCCACGTCCTGAGCACCCCCAGGCCTGGGGTGTTCTGTGCTGGTGAAAAACCCCTGCCAGTCACTCTGCCTCAGGCCCCAGGGCTCTACGCTGGTGGCGCTGCCTGCTTCCCAGTGTGAAGATAGGTAAGGCAAAGCCAGGCCGTGGGCAAGCCCTGGGTGTTGGGGGCAGTGATGCGTCTTTGCAAAGCTTGGGGTGACCGGCCAGTACACCACAACAGGCCAGCAGTGATTTGAGATGGCCCATCTGTTCTTCACCCTCGCAGGTCTGGCCAGGGCGGAGGTGGCCCCCTCGTTCTCCAGTGTCCTGAAGGACTGCGCTGTCTCTGAGGGCCAGGACTTTGTGCTGCAGTGCTCGGTGCTGGGGACCCCAGTGCCCCGAATCACTTGGCTGCTCAATGGTGAGTCCCCCCTGCTCCAGGCCCCACCAGCCCCTGGGCTGCCTGGCCCTGCCAGCATTCTCACTTGGCTCCCCCCACTGATCACTCTGAACAGAACCATTTATGCTTAAGAAGGAAGCACAGGGCATAGAGAGAGTTTGGGAGCTGGGAGCCTGCTGCTGCCTGGCTGGGGACACTGGGCAAGTTACTGCTGTCTGAGCCTCAAGCTCCTTGTCTTGTCTGTAAGATGGGAGTAATGCTACCTGCCTTCCAGGGTGGCGGTTGTGAAAATTAAATTCGATCCTTGGCACAAAACAGCTAATGAGATACCTGTCACATAGGTGCATAAGCAATTTAGTTCTTTATATGGCCAGGCTCATAGTAGGCCAGGCTCATTTATTGTTGAATCAATAAATAAACACATACACCAACAAAGTAATAAACCACCCTAGAAGTTGCTCACGGGACCTTGCCTTTTATCTTGTGGCAGAAAGTTTTGGGGTTCATAGACCAGTAATTCTTTTTAATGTTATAGTCCTCTAGAGACATGCCAACTTTCTTTTCCTTTGCCAAGTAAGGTCATTTGAATAAAATTAACTATATATTACTGCCCTTCTCTTTTTAAAAAAGCTTTTATGTTCCAAAACTATGGGAGAACTCTAATTTTAGAACAGAGAACAGTCCATAAAATTGATGAAATTGAGCAGGGTCTGCTTTGGGGTCCACAGAGAAGACAAAGGAGCACCTGTCGGGGAGTCAGGAGACAAGGGCACCCACCCTTCACCCATGAAGTGGTTGGCTGGCCTGGGACATCCCTCTTTACCTTTCCAGGTGTTGACTTCTTTATTGGTGAGGAGATGGGCTGGAAAAGAAGGTTCAGGGGCTCACCCAGCTTTCACAGCTGACAGAATAGACTCCTTAGGGGAACAGTGGTGCCTGGCGCCTATGCACCTTAGAGCCCTCCCCCTGTTATTTTCTACACCACTGACACATTGCCTTCCTCACTAGTGTAGTTTGCTTAGGTTTTGCTAGAAATTATCTTTACCCAGTGAGAGAAAGTGCCATGTGGTCTTCCCATGTGTCTCTTCTTGGGCAAATAAGGGCCTCCACCCCTTACTATGGACAGACCTGGCAGATGCTGTGACTACCTACCCAGAGGCAGCCTCCTTGCAGCTAGAATAGAACATGGACTTTAAGGACTAGCAATGGATCTGAGTAAGAATAGTTTTGCTTCCATCTGGCTGAGAGTCCAAAACAGGGGTCAAGAAATACTTTCTATCAGGGATCAAATAAACATTTCAGCTTTGCGGGCCATATTGTCCCTCTCATAACTACTGAGCTCTGCTATTGTGACACAAAAGCAGCCAGAGACAATATTTGAATGGATGAGTGTAACTGTGTCGCAATAAAACTTTATTTATGGACACTAACTTGAATTTCATACGATTTTCACATGTCTTGAAATATTCCATCTTTAATTTTTTTTCAACCATTTAAAACTTGTATTCTCAGCTTTCAGGCTGTACAAAAGCAGGCTGCAAGTTGGATTTGGCACAGTCAGTAGTTTGTTGACCGCTGATCTACACCACTCACTAGGAAAAACAGCCCCACTGTCTTACTTTTGGTGAATCTTGGCATTTCCAAACTCTTACCACTAGAGGGAGGTCATGCTCAAATTGGATTCCCTTGGCTGTTAACTCTGGTCTTAACCAGACTTGGAGCAGGGATAGCTCTGTGCCTTCCTATTATGAAAGCCCTGAGCCAATAACTCCTTTCTGGGGCCACCATCCATCCCATGCTTGTGGGGCCAAAATAACGTATGCTCCAATAAAAGGAGAGCCCTCAAACAGCCTGTTGGCACATGTTTTATCAGCAGAGGAAGTTTGATGGCAGTCATGGGATGTACTGGTTTTAAGGAAGAGAGGTTTTAGGGTGTTATTTTTGCAAAAAAGTAAAAACAAAGAGCAGGGCTCAATCCTCTCAGTAGCAGGATCCTGGTCTCTGCCTTTCCCAGCCCCCAGCCCCACTTCCGTGAAGTGCAGTAGGCTAGGCAAAATCTCTTCCCTATGGCTTTATGGCATGCTTGGCAGTATTTGCCAGACTGTCGTGGAGACATGAAGTGTTGCTATGTGCAGAAGAAAACACTGCATTGCAGGGAGAGAACTTCTTTCTGTACTTTCTCCCTCCCCCCACCCGCACCCCCAGTTTTATGAAGTGTAATCTGGGACCCTGAGGCCTGACAAGGGAAGAAACTGACAGTTGCTTCCTATATGGTGAAGGGACACATTCCTGTACAAAGGCCAAAATCTTCAGTAATGAGATTTTCTTTTCCCTGGAAATAAAAGTTCACATCCTGGAATGATGAAGTCCCACGGAACATATAGCATGAAGGAGACCACTGAAGTCCATAGTGTGTGCCTCTCTCTCTGTGCAGAACTTTATGTGACTTGAATAAATGGACTCTCGTGGAAGGGACTCTAGGAAGAAGGGTCCAAAATCATTTTTAGTTTCCCATATTTATCTTTTCCATGAACCCTAAAACTCACCTAATTGCATAGAAGAAACGCACCTAATTAGAGCATTAGGTTGAGTCGCAGAATTGCTTTCTGATAAATATTTGCAATGTGAAATGGAATTGTTGTTTCTGGAGGCAACTAAAAGGAGCCAGGAGCCTCGTGCTGTCTGCCTGAAGTTTGTTCTGCCTGAGGCTGGGCTTTGGGCCAGATAACCCTGTAAGATTCTTTCCAGGCTCAGAATTCTATGAAGTCCAAGCTGTGGATTTGGGGACTGTTTATTTAAACAGAATGTACAGAACTGTGTCCCTCCTGCCCTGCATTCTAAATGCCTCCAGAATCTTTCCCGTGAGTCCTTCCATCCCCAGCCTTGCTCGTACAACCCACACAGTTGCTCCCTCTGCCTCATCTCCCTGCCACCTGCCTCTGTCTATAGCCACAAGCCTCTGTCCCTCTGGCCAGAGGTGGGCCTGGTGTATCATTAGATCTGGGTGGATCTAGCAAGCATGGGAGAGCATCAGCATCCTGATGAGGCTCACATCCCTGCCCCTCGTGCTCCCTGCCTGAGCCTTTCCATGCTTCCCTCCACAGGGCAGCACATCCAGTACGCTCACTCCATCTGCAAGGCTGGCGTGGCTGAGCTCCATGTCCAGGACGCCCTGCCGGAAGACAATGGCACCTACACCTGTCTGGCGGAGAACCCCTTGGGACAGGTGTCCTGCAGCGCCCGGGTCACTGTCCATGGTAGGAGCCTTAAGGCACCTTTCTGGAAGCACCTTCCTGCAGACTCAGGTGCTTTGGAGAAAGTGCACTGTACCTGAATGCAGGCGTGTGGAGGAGATGGCCTCTAGGAGCTTATAGTGGCAAGGGCCTGCCGTGGGATGTGGACATGCAAAAGCCAGTTCCCCCACCCACCCACCCTACCGGGGCTGAGGGAAGATGCAGGTAGAAGAGGCAAGGACTCCCTTGACTCAAGACTCTCAATCTGGCGGGGGAAAGTCTGCACACACTGACAGGTGAACTAGGAGAACAACTCACATACCCCCTTAGGACTCATTTGTGAGCCCTTCGCAGGCTGGGGGCACAGGGTAACAGCATGCTGGTATTGAGGCTTCAGGAGGTCACAAGGAGTACCCCTTTTCCTTTTGCCCCTGCCCATGTGCCCAAGCTTGTTTTTATATATCACCAACCTGATGTCTGATAATCTGATTATCATGATCATCTACTGATCTGCGCCAAATGCCTGGTCCTAGGAAGTCTCGGGGTGGGCAGGGGTTGGCACAGGACTCAAGACAGAGCTGTCTGTGCTGTGGCATCAGGAGGTGTGGTGACAGTGTGCAGGGAAATGCTTCCTGGGTCCAGAGCATTCAGGTAAGCCTGCCTCCCCACCCTCGCCCCAGGCCTGGGACCCCAGCTCCAGTGTGTGCTGGCCTGGGTGCTCGGACCAGGTGCCCTGTGCTCTGCTTTCCCAGCACACTAGCAGGAGGCCATTCTCTTCACTCTGTTCCCCAGGGCTCAGGCCTCTAGGGGAGAGTCTCCGCAGAACATGAGCAGCCACCTTCTGGGAAGCCACAGAGATGGTTTCACTGAAAAGCACAGGGAAAACGTGCTGGTCACTGTGTCAAACACCTTCCCCTCCCCTGTATTTTCTCATTTCTGTATCTTTCTCAACAGCCTAGGAGGGAGGGGGGCAGTGTCCCCCTGGTTTACACAGAAGGGTCTGAAGTGTCCAAAAGCTAACATGACTTGCCTACGCTCACCAAGCTAGTAAGTCAAGCCGGCCTTTCAAACCCAGATCTTCACGACTCCAAGCCTGTGCCCATTCCTATGCCCTGCCCACTTCCGGAGTGTGTGTCCTGTGGCCCAAAGGAGAGGCTGGTCCCCAGGGGCTCAGCACCGCTGCCCCTGAGGGAGAACAGAACTGCCCCAAGGAGGGATGTGGCCACCCCTGGCCCTCTGAGGCTGTCTGCCGGGAGGGCATACTCCCTGGCTCTCCAGGTTCTCTGAAGTGCCTGCTGAGGACTCGTCAGCAGGGAACTGGCCTGCGCTTCCTTCTGGGAAGCCCCCACACTCAGCCTGAGCCTCACGGTGGCCCAGGAAATTGTCAGCCGGCATTCTGGTTTGCATTCATCCCCTTTATCCTCACAGATCTCCTGTCATGGCTCACTGAGGGGCCTGGGGAAGCTGTGGTAATGAGACTCAAGAGGAAACAGAACAGACCTGAGTCTTATCTCCAGGGACCACGGGGGCAGCTCTCACCTTCCCAGTGGAGGGGGCTTTCCTTGGTGTCTGCATGGCCTGCCCCGAAGTTTAGAAATGGCAGAGAGAGCCGGCATAGCGGATGATGGGTCTGTTGTCTGAGACTCTCCCTCAAGAGTTTTGGCTACAGGCCCTGCTAATCCAGTGGCCGGTAGAGGATTGCCTGTGTTTAGATTGGATTAGAGACCCAGCCGAGCTAACAGTCCTGCTGTTGCAGGTGGGGTCAGGGTGGGGGGCCTCAGATGAAGGATCAGGAAGTCTTTGCACCTGTCCTCCTTGCCCCCAGGTCTGTGGGGGGAGGGGTGCCTGGGTGATTGCCCATCCAAGTGTTTTAAAGCAGAAACAAAGAGGAACCACAAGAACTCTGCCAGAGCCCCTCGGATTTGCTCTGAGAACAGCCCTGCGGGAGCGGGAGCCCCTCCCAGTTGGGGATTTACTGGCCTCTGAAGGCCTACAGAGGCTCAGAGACCATAAATGGTGAAGGAGGCTGAGGGACGTGGCCACGCGCTCAGGCTGGCAGCGCTGGCGCTGTGCACAGGATTGGAGCAGGCCAAGCCTGGCACAGACACCCAGGCTCCGCGCCCCAGGCACTCAGGAGGCTCCAGTCCGCCTCCCACACCATCCTCTGCTGTGGAGTTTCCCTTACTTTACTGGCAGCTCCTTTGGCTGCAGGTCTCTGGGGGCAGCTAAGGGGGCTGGGAGGTGCCAGTGAGGTTCCCTACTGCACCGACCACTGTCCCGGCCTCTCCCTTAGCCGCCCGGGCCTCGCCTTCTTTCTCTTACCCTCAGGGTGGCTCCAGGCCACGGCTGGAGCATGGATGCGGAGCAGGCTGCCTGGGTGGGAGTCCTGCCCCACCACTTGCTAGCCCTGCCTGGGCAGCCGTTCAGCCCTCCCAGGCCTCGCCCCACTCTTCTGTGAAATGGGGGCAGATAGTCACCCCCAGGACTGTGAGGATTAAATTAATGAATACGCATGATGTCGTCCGAACATAGGAAGTGCTTAAGAAGTGTGTGCTATTACGGTGATTATACGATGCAGCCCCAACCTTTAAACAAGACAAAATTGTTCAAAATGCCAAGTCTAAGGAGCAGTTTTACTGAAGGACTAACTTTGCCACAGTGGGTGGGTGCTTGTCTGCCTGTCTCTTCGATTGTTTCCGGGAAGGGGAAAAGAGAATCGGACAATTCAAGAAGGGAGGGATTAGGCTAGATGCTAAAACCAGTCTCAAGCACCCCGTTCTACGGGCGCTGGCCACAAGAGGGCGCCCTTCAGCCCTTCCTCTTCCTCTGGTTGGATTTCCAGCCAGGAGCCGTGTCAAGCATGTAGCTCTGCTGGAGGCTGACTCAGTTCTGTAGATACTTACTTGCTCCAGGCCAGTCGTGGGTGGTCTTTCTCACCTCTTTAGAATTTTGTCAAGTTTTTGCAAGCATCCAGAAATTGCTAGCCCAGCTCTCTGATGTGATTTCTGCAGCTACTCTTCCCTGCTTTCTCTGCCTCCTCTTTTCTGTAACCCCTTCCTCCAAAAATCTGGTTAACCCCTCCTACAATGTCACTTCCTCTGGGAAGCCTTCCCTGGGCACCCCAGAAAGAGTTATCTTACTAGCTGTTCCTCCTTTGTTACTGTGCTTATTTATCAACGTTTTTTTTTGAACACCTACCCTGTGCCAGGCACTGTTCTGGGGGACCTGCAGTGAACAGGACAGACAAGCTGTGCCTTCATGGCACTTATGTTCTGATGGAGAGATGGGCAATAATCTGCACCTGCCTTAATCAGATACTGACACGTGCTATTAAGGAATTGAGAATAGAGATGGGTGGAAGGGATCCTTTTATAGTTGAGTGATAAAGGAAGCCTCTATGAGGAGATGACTTTTGAGCAGAGTTCAGTGACCTGGAGAAAGAGTGCTCCAGACAGGCGGTACAGCAAGTGCAAAGGCCCTGAGTTGGGAACAAGATCAGCCTATTCAATGAACAGCAAGACAATGGGTGTGGCTGGAGAAGAGGGAGTGAGTGGCCAAGTGGCAGAGAATGAGTTGAGATAGAGAGGCAGGGGTACATCATCTGGGGCCTCTAGGGGTAAGGAGAAAGCATTTATTCTGTGAAATTTTACTCTAATTACTTGTTTAACATTCTGCCCTGAAGACTGTAAGCTCTCTGAAGGCAGGGACCATGTCTTATTCATTACTGCACGTAGGGCCTGATACGTGGGCATGTGTTCAGTTAGTGGATGGAAGGGCACACAGGTAGGCGAGTGTCCCAGGAGAGCAGGGGGCTTCCCTCCACCTCCTCACTTCCCTGGGGGAAGGAGTGGGCGCTAGTGCTCACAGGATGTGTGCAGGAAACCCACAAACTAGCTCTCAAGAGCCCCTCAACAAAGATTCCTTCTCTCATCACTGCATACTAGGAAAAAAATATCCCCAGTAGTTAACCAAGCCATGGAACTCTTCTTCCTGACCCAGGATGGGGCCTAAAGGATGACCGATCCTAATTCCTGCAGCGCCAGGAAGAGACAGAGAGGAGTAAATATTTCCATACATTTGGACTGAGTCATCGGTGGTGGGTGGGGCTTCCTTAGGCTAGAATATTTTAATTTCTCTCTCCCTGGAGTATCTTCATCAAGGCTAAAATTCTTAAGTGACCAGATTTATTTACCTGCTAACTATACTCATTTTGACACAGTATCTCAGCTTAATGGTTTATTTTTATTGATTTAACTGAATGCCTTCTGGGTCTCTTAAAGGCACCTAAAGACATAAAATGTGGGCACATTTTAAAAAATGATTTATAGAATAAAAACTGAAACTTAATAAACGTATTTATTAGAGTATTTGTTTTGATGAGGAGTCCCTAATGAAAACAGCAGGTACCAGGAAGCCAGCCATTTGCCAGAGAATGAATGCTCTGGTACAAGCCCAGTTTATTTTCAGATGAGTGACAGGCGCTCTGAGAGGCCGCTGTGAGCATGGACAGCTTCCCTCCACTGTACCTGGAAGTCCCTGGCCACTGCCTCCCTGCTTCCGAGTCATACTCAGGTACTTTGGACATTATATAATCTGCCCATTTGGTGTCACCTGATCCCTGCCCTCCATGAATTTAAAAGCACTGGAAACATTTTTAATATTTATGTTAAAGAGAAGTTTATTGGAGGAGAAGGATGAACATCAGCTTTAACTTGTCTTTTTTTTTAAGAAACTTAGTCCACCCATTACATCTGTGTAAAACTCTTTCAAATTCTAAGAAGGCAAGCAAAAAATGTTGTTAGTTTATAACCAATATTTTGGTTTTATAGAAATTGAATGCAACAGAAATGGGGCTGTGTGTGCCCCATGGGTCCTTCGTGTCACAGGACTTCTAAGTATGTGTTTGTATATTTGTGTCCATATCACAGAACTGGAGTTTCATTTTACTAATTGGATAATTAGAGATGTATAACTGAGTAATTCTATAGCCCACAGTAGGTCATTGCTACCAGTTATTTGCTTGG